ATGGTGTAATAAACACTTTCTTTTAATTCGCTAGTGGGGGGTGGAGTCCAGCTGTGTCCACTCGGCACGGTGGCCACTGATTGGCCTATTGTAACTGCGTCGGTGATTATGATGATGGAGAATTTGGTGGGACGAAGATTGGCAGGGGAAACCGAAGTAATGGGAGAAAACCCGCTCCAGTACCACTTTGTCAACCACAAATCCCACTTGACCAGATTCGGGATCGAGCCCGGGCCGCCGCGGTGGGAAGCCAGAGACTAACCGCTTGAGCTATGGCGCGAACTGAGCAATAAACACATTCTCGTTTAATGTCAGGCAACAATAAGACAAATGTTTATAGCTCGTTGCTAGGCAACAGTCAGTGAGCCAGTGGACTGGAGAGATAATTATCACATGACTTGTTTTCTATGAGGTCTGTGCTACGCAATAATAGAACTGTGTTTTCTGTGCGTGGTCCATGCCGAGAGGATATGAGAGAATACGGGAATGGGAATTGACTTCACTTGAGTTCCGGAGTTCCAAGAGAATAGCAGTGTTGACAGAAGAAGAATTAGGAGACTCAGTGTATGACGTTGCACATACTATAGTTACAGTAATCTTGAAGATGTAAGAAATTATTGAAGCTACAACTAGTGAAGATCCAATAAACTAATTCACTTATCCAAACCCAAGTCTTAGATATTGAAACACGTGACAATATATTTCTTTGGCTACCAAGGTGATGTACTTCACATTAAGCAACCACATGAAGAAGATCTTTCTTGAGAAAACAACAGTTGTCCAACTGGTTAGAGAAAAGTGAACCTTTAGAGAAAAACAAAATACCGAATACCATCTGCACCAGAAGCAAACAGTGATCCCTGTTATGGGCCAGATGAATCCAATAGACACCCTGTTATATATTTTCGTACTTCTTATACATCTTAAATTTCAGGAGGTATCTTCCCTTCAGGTTCTGGTTTCAAAAAACTGTGCGTATCTATCTGAAGAAACAGGAAAAATATTTTCAGCTTATCCAGCAAAATCACCACGGATCTCTCACGTATTAATCAATTATTTTGCTCATCCTATTATTAGGTTCAAGAAAATTACATATATACTTCATCAGCTTACTGTTTAGATGTGTGTGTCTCTGCTCCCAGAATGATAACAGCTTGTTCCTACTCATACTGATGTGATTGTATACGTTTTATGGTTGTGAATATGGTATTGGTAAACTAATTTGTGCTTCGTATTAAAAAATGAGGTTAATTAAATTACGTGGACAATAGAAGGTAATATCAAACGTTGAAGTCACCAATACCTGCCACTTCTGGGTACTGAACAATAACGTTTATTAAGAAAGCAATCTTCTGGAATGTGGCACCATGTAGATCTGGTGTTAACCGACGTTTCGATGTCACATCCCATAAGACTGCTTTCTTCATAGTCACCGCCGTGGACACCTCAAATCTTACAATAACCTATATCGTTTGATGGTCCTAATTATCGCACGGGGTATTTTGACCACCACCAATAACAAGAGCTCATCACCCTTCAGAACATACATCTGCTGGACTGCTATAATTAAACTCCATGTGTAAAACAGTCAGTTTTCTTCCGTATACTTCAGTGTGAAGCTTGAAATAGCACGGAACAGAGAAATATTAAACGAACATTATTTATAATAATAACTAGTTCATAACTGAAATTCATTATATTGTGCTTTGCTCTTTCGAAACTTGTCATGTTTGTGGTCGAAGTTGTCCACATTTGTTTAAAAAATAAATAGGCCTTTTAATTTTTATGTGATTTGGGAAGAAAAACTGAAAGCGCCCACGCCCTCATACTGTTCGTCTTTCACGAAGAAGAGTTCTCAAATAAGTAACTTGATATTGTAGATATAAATCCAATATTGTATTAACGAGATAATATCACTAACATGGCCAGAATCACAGGTGAGGTTGGATATATTTCTCGGCAGATTTTGGAGTGGACGACAGAGAAACCCTTATAGCCGAAGAAGGAGATTTCTATGAAAAGTTCGTATGAGCTAATGAGAAACAGACCTATTTCTGGATGCTGACTAAGCTGAAGTTTTCATATTGGAAAAATGTTTATCTCTTATACCAAAAACTCCAGGGCGTTTAAGTGCTATTTTGTCATATTTCGGTGATTTGGAAATCCAGTTCTAAATCTTGGGTCACTATAGCAGTTTTCGAGAACTTGTTTTCCAGCCAGTCTTTATTGTAATCAAAGATTGTGGTGATAAGGCATTGCCAATTTTATGCACCACGTAGTTCCGTAGATAGGTTCCTCCGAAAAGTTAGTACCTCTTGCTGACTCTTTGAGTTACACATCGTCACACTCAAGACGACCGTAATCTTAATATCAGCAACCACGAGAATCTCAAATCTCACACGAATGCGAAGTGACTGTCGTAAGCATTGTTACTGGATCAGGAAGATTCACTTCGCAACCTTCATGATGCCTCTCTGCTTGTACAAAGCAGCATCGGCAAGATACTGACCTCTTGAGGCCACTCAGATGCTTAACGAGACCCAACCTTGCTACCATCTACAGAAGCGCTAAGGTCAGGCCTACAACTAGATTGTGATATTTCTTAGGTTTCATAACAGCCAAGCGTAGCCTTCGGGGAGAGGAGCCTGCTGAATCTTACAGTGTTTGCCCACCACCTGCTCAAGCGAGTGACTGGATTCATTATGGCAAAACCAGGTTCTATGGCTCCCGTACTCTTTTCAGGAACCTGTCTTCTACCGTCATCAAGAGTGTATTTCATAGCCCCTAAGTCCACGATTAAGTGATGCGAGATCATTTGTCGCTATGCAGTATCCGAAGCAAGTTGAGGAGTTTGGATACAGATGCTGGGGGAAAATACTGATTGGTTTATCTATTTTCAGTGAGGGGGAACTCTTCGGTGTGAAAAGTCCTAGAAATATACTAAGAATTTTCTTGGTACAAGGGAAACTGGCTTAAGATTTTCATATGTTTAGACTTCATGTTAATGACTGATTGACAATTAAGGGGAAAGACTAACTAATTAACTTTTTTTTTCACCTTGGCACTACAGCTCCAGTGGGCCTATGCCTACCTCCATTAACTTCTCCGTTCACTTCGGTTTTTCTAGATCTTACACATTCGATAGGACTACTTAGGCGGGTGATCAGCTCGTCGCAAGGCCTCTACCTGTACACAAACACAGAAAAAAGCGCACACACAAACTAAATAGCCATGCCCTGAGTGGGATTCGAACCCACGATCCCGGTTTCCAAGCGAGCGAAGAGAGTACATGCCAATTAACTAATTACCTACCTAAATTCCATTCAATCTGACTCGCAGATTCCATGGTGTGTTGTATTTCTGAGAATTATTTCTCCTTTTTTTTGCGGTAAGTTTAAGGATGCTCTGAGTGACTCATATTCTTAGTGCGGAATGTTAGGGTGCCAGTGACTTGCTTTGGAGGAAGGGTAATTTGAGATGTCACGTGATTTGCAACGAGAATTTGAGGAAACCATGAAACATCTTCAAATCATTGTGTCTCTCTGGGACGAGATTGGAAATTAAAACCTCCTAAACGCAAACCAAGCGGGTTGCAAATACCACCCCAAATTCCCGTGCTGTCATCGTCCTTCAATTCGACAAAAAGAAAGCTAGTTTGCGTGGAAACAGACGGTTTATGATAGTATTCAAAAGGCTCGAATATTGGGCACTAGTCTGAGTAAGTCTCTCAAGTTAGCACCTTCACATTTCATATCTCTAAGAACAGCTACGTATCGTCACTATAATATTTCTCCCAAAGTTTTTGCGCATTTGCTTAGAGCACTAAATTTGCAATAGAAAATGTTGTTTGTAAATCTCACGAAAAGACAACTGGGGAAGTATAAGGACATGAAAATAACAATATTCAAAATAGAGTTAAAGATGTAAACTGTGAGAATTTAAACTGAATTAAATTAAATCAAATCAAGATTTTATCCAATAAAAAGCTCTTTTTAACTCGATGACCAACGTCCGGCATTTATAAAGGCAAACAGTCCACATGCCTGCTGAATATGCATCTGCTAATTAAGGAAGGCTTCGTAAGTTTACTAATGTATTTGTAATTGTGAATCCCATTTGAATAGGATTTCAACATTTTCATCTTTTCCATTTTATAAATGAGGCTTTCTCTCGCGCACAGATTACTTATCACTGAATCAGTATTATAAATTACAAATTAAGTAGAGGAATATACTTTTTAAGAAACGCACCGAAGTGCACAAAAAAGGCGTAGGAAAGTTTTATTTAGACAAGCCAGTCCCAGGACAGAAAGTCCTTCCTCGGACCTCCTCAACTAGGAGCAAGAGGAATCACGACATTCTAACAAAATGCCCTGTGATCACATTATTCTAAAGAGACATGCGGTAAAGCAGTTGTGACCAGAATGAGAAGTAATCATCATAACGCTCAGTGAAAGCTTGACACCCGCGTTCCCCCAACAAAAAACACTGTATTTATATTTTGTATTAGTTCATTCCAGTAACAAACAAACGAAGTTAGGCCCTTGTCAGTGCTTGCAGTTAGTGGTCACAACCGCGCTGACAATATTTAACGATAATATACTGAATGTGAGGCCCGCGACCCATGGACTCGTCACTGCTTTCATGCCAGCTCCGCAGTTCTACTTTCGGCATTCATATTTGGGAAAGGAATTACTTTACCATAGATCATAAAAGTAGCTCCGAGCTTTTAGACACTGAGCTGCTCCAAGAATCCCCGAACTACACAGAAGCCCAATTCTCATTATCATTTCACAGGAGACAGACTCTGACACCTATACTGGCCCACGTGAGTCGAGTTCACCATTACAACCTGTATTGTTATGATCCACTATAATATTACCACCACATAATACTCGTATGTACAGTGTGTTATATGAAACACATGTGGTACTGAAAAAGCTTTATATCATTAGGTTTAGAATCTTTGTCATTCCATTTACTAAGGCAAAGTGGTTGTGCCCCGGCACTAGATGCCAGATATATTTTGTATTATCATTAATTTTAGTTCATTTGTAATAGAAAGGGAAAGAACAGTCACAGGATGATGAACCGGAAGTTGAATGAGATCAGACTCACGAGTGTGCGGTATCCGGTAGTCAGCCATTTTATGATGCATCGGTTAGAGATTTACGCACGTACACCAGTGACCATATATGGGCAAGTGTTGAAACGGCAAGAGACGAACGCCAATGGGAAAAGAATATTCTAGGGCGTTTCCACGCGTGGATAGTACTCGAGCGTCGCATAGAGACTTATAAAAGCCCCAGACGCGAGTGCAGAGGGGGCTAAGCTAGAGGGCTTTGGGCGTAGTTGTTGCTACCGAACTCTGTGACAGTGCCGACCATGAAGGGACCATCCAGCGTCGCCACTCTGTATCTACTATGCTGTTCATGTGAGTACTTGCCTCTTGTCGGAACACGCCAGTGAGAAACTAGAACAATCAGAACTGTGAACTGAAGGACTGAATGAGTAGGACTCCATTAAGGAGGAGGCGATAGGCCAAAGAATGAATATCATGTACTGTAAGTTGTAGTCAGATTTATTTCCATGTATTAGTTAGCCTTTAGACAGAGAAAGAGAGTGAAGTAATATATCCTCAATGTAATTTTGTATATGTGTGTTTCATTTACCCGGCACCTCNCACCACATAATACTCGTATGTGCAGTGTGTTATATGAAACACATGTGGTACTGAAAAAGCTTTATATCATTAGGTTTAGAATCTTTGTCATTCCATTTACTAATGCAAAGATTCTAACATACGAAACCACAGTTTTTCCCGGTTCCTTCCGTAGTATGGACGTGAAACTGTCTCTCTCACGTTAAGAGCATAGCACAAACTAATGGAGTCTCAGATCAGTATCCTAAAGAGAACGCTTGGACCTAAGAGAGCGAAAGCAAGATAAGGCTGGGGGGAAAAAATACTTAATTTTAAGAAGTTTCACGATAAAAATTTTGTTACGATGAGTATATCAAGGAGGATTAAATGGCCGAAACATGCACAACTTATGGAAGAAAAGAAAAATCGAAACAGAATTTTGGTGATGAACTACTTCCAGGCTCTAAGTTTAGATGGAAAAATAACATTTAAATGGGGTTTAAGCAAATTAGCATGACAGGAGGATGTGACATGGGTTCACTTGGCTCAAGTGAGGGACCAATGACGATCTCTAGGGGACATAATAAGAAATTTCATGGTCTGTGAAAGTCTGCGAAATTGTTAACAAGCTGAACAAGGGTTACCTTCTTGTCTTGACCAGCAACAGTTCCGTAACTAACAAGACATTATAGCTGCATTACACTGGAGACTGTAATATTGTCCTGTACGTAAAACAAAGAAAAAAGAAAAATTTTCTGGGGTCTTCATATCCATGAAAGTACAAATTAACAATGCTAATAATTTCTAAGGGTCTAGCATTTTCTGCCTAGGGTAATCCCTTATAAAACACAAATAAAAATTTTGCTATATTTCAGGGACCCAGTGGTCTTGACTAAGATGTGTATGTTCTTCTGGGTTGCGAGGGAAGCTCTTTATTTTTCCAAATGCTGATCCTGCTACATTGTTTGACTTGAAATTCGATGTTGAAGATGGGGAATAATTTCCTTCTGAACTACAAGGCTTCTACGCCGATACAACTAGAAGATCCTTCACATATTTTCTGTATGCAGTATAACTGAATTAGGGGGCTGTAATTATTAGGGCAGCTCGGTTTCTGTGTGCGACATATTCTGAATGCAATTAGCACATAATACCAATCTCACACCACTTCTCTTGAGTTCTCCACCCCTCTCAAACATGTCTGTAGTGTACAGAGCAATTGCATTTCGTCCATCTTTGATGGTAGGAATCTGAGCATTTCAAAGTGAATGAACTAATTTTAGAAACCCGACCCGTATCTCAGGAAATGTGTTTACCATCACTACTACATTAATTATATATTTCTGCTATGAATCTACCATGCCACTTCATTCTGAAATGTTTAATGAGCGTTTAAACTTAAATATAATCACAAGTCTACAGTCATTGCAGTACAAGAGCGTTAAACACGATAATGCAAGGCTGCATTTGAAAGCCTCGATTAAATTTTCAAAGTAAATTTGTTTATTCCGTTATTTCTTTATTCCACACTATTTCCGGGTCTTCATTTCTACAACACAAAGTAAAATATTCTACAGTTAAGAATACTCTCTTCTGGGATATAACACCGTGTGGTACGGTGAAAGACAACTGATGTTGTGAAGGAACATAAAGCATCCATCTTCAGTGTAGAAAAATGAGCTAAGTAGAAAAACTAGAGTGAAAACAGGTGGCAAGCAGAACGAGAGCGGAAGGTACTCTGCAGAGCCACTGCTGAGAGAACCTCAGATCATATGACATTCCCCTTCTTCATTGGCGTGTAACCTAACCACCTTATAAATCATCGTCAAATCACCAAGGAACAAAGTTACAAGATTCACCTTCAGATATCGCTGACATCTATTATGTTAATGACACATGTACTTCCTATTCATTACAAATCAAATTTCTTAACCCACATCGTAATTATCCTAACCTTGACCACTTTGTTCGCCTGTGTGTATCTCCTTTGCTTATTCAGTCAGCATCCTTGATGACTACGAGGAGTAGACCTTCTGGGATGTAAGGCCATATAGATCAGACTTCTTTCAATATACACAACATTACAGTCCAGAAGACCACAATCTTCATAGCCACGTCTGCGAAAACATAAAACCAAGCCCAAGATACTTCTTCGTATATCGGATTCATTCACTTACATTCATCAATTGCTCTAAGACTCTTTGCTGGGCCCTGGCCTTTTCTTCAGTTTCGTAATGTTTTCTACACAGACGGTAGGACTCCTTGGTCGAGCGATCAGCCCATCTCAAGGCCGCGCTACCTACACACTGGATAAATGCACACAAACATCCATGAATTTAGTGGGATTCGAACCCACGATCCCAGCGTTCGAGCGAGCGAAAACAGTCATGTCTTAGACTGCGCGGCTACAATGACCGGCCCATACATTGGATGCCAGATGAAATTTATATGCTCCTTGGAAAGCAAATTACTTACTGCTTCCTGCGACGGATTACACTTTTACTAAATGATTAATTAACATGAGGACAAAACCATTAAGTATAAAACTAAAAGATGGTTACAGTGATTAATTTGTTTCCATTTTTAACGAATAAAATTAGGCGTATGAGATCATCATGCTGTGTATGTGTTGCGTGCGTGCATTTGTGTTTGTGCCTGTCTATATACCTCCATTTCAACTTCTGAACCAGATCACCAATTCTCATGAAAGTTTGCGTAAATATTGATCCGTTTCAGGTCACTCAAATGTCTTAACCAGTAACAAAAAGATTGCAGACGAACAAACGGGTGAAGTATGGGCGACATTGGTGCAAAGGAATTGAGGGCCTCAAAAGATGTAACGTTATTCAAGTTCAAAAGCAATATGCAACTTTAATAAAGATATTCTTTTGTGAATGTTAAAATATTAACGTGGCGTCCGTGTGAATACTTTCTTTAACCTTCCAACTAATGAACCGTTGGAGCTTGGCAAGTGAAATGTTGTAATGTATGCATATATTTTACGAGAAATGCTACCCTTAAGCTGAAAACTACAGTCAATGTGGCAATGTGAAATTTTGACTTAAACTTTCAAGGCCACATCCTAACAAATTATAAAATTCTCTTCTAAAAATTAGTAAAGTAACAATAATATGTATAATAGATCTGTGAGACTAGAAATCCATGCTGTAGAGACGTAGACTGCTTGTTAATTCTTTAACAGTTCATCAGTTCAAGCGAGTGTGCGTGGTCGAGACGGAACTAGGAATACAAAAGTCTTATTTGTTATTGTAATATGACACACGGTTATGATTATTAATAAACTTTCATATATTTTCTGCTATAAATTATCAGCAGATTACAGCCCTCTTTGTCAATTATTAAGTGAATATTCTGGGGTCAGTACTCGACTTTAGTAATTGAGTTCTGTTCCCAATTTGAAGGCCGGCTGTATTGAATAATGCAAACAGGCATAATGGAGGCAAATTTTTTTCCCCTACGTAGAAATATGGAATTCATTTCATCGATGGAAGTGTCATTACATCGTTTAGAGCTTGATGAGTCTGTGACTGCAATCTGGAGGCAAGTATATCGATCTAGCTATAATAATTCCTTCTTCATGTTCAAAGAGCCCATAATTCTAATCTAGGTCCCTGTCAACAAATTTGTCTAGGGCTATTCGTCGTTTTTTTTTCCAGTTTCTCCACGTGAGTTCCAAAATAGGATAACAAAATTTTCCAAAATCAACTTCCTCGACATTCCTAATTATAACAATATTCCTTTGGAAATTATGTAGTTAAAATTAAAAAGCCGAATTAGTGTCGCAAAAAGTACGCAACAGTATATGACCTTGCTGCTCTTTCTTCAGAAATTCTTCGGACTAATCAAGAGGGAAGTATGCTACAAGGCGGAAGATCGCATGTTCGATTCCAATGAAGGCATTCGATTTTTTAATTGACTTAATTCTTCTAGCCATACTATGGCCCTGGGGTCGACTCAGCCTCTGACAGAAATGAGTACCAGGAATCTTCATGGGAGTAGAGCGGTAAAGGGGGTTAAAACATAAGGCTGCCAACCTTATCGCCATCTGTGAGCCGATTGTCTAGAAAACAATGGAGCTTCGACATCTAGAGGCTTTATGGTTCTTCACGGCCTGTTACAGGGATAGATTTTAATCAAGAGGGCTTTATCGAAGCGTAACTTCAAGAAGGGTGTTCTTTCAGGAAAGGTCGCTCCATTCTTTCGTCCTGTCAGGGATGATCTGGGCCAGAAAGAACCGCTGTGGTTCCACACATCGATCGCTCGATTGTCACCAGTGCTAATGAAAGCTGTCGTGAGATTCTACTATGTCCACCGGAAGTTAACCGTGAGAGGAAACTGCAGCTCACTGGGTCAGCATCACCTGCTCAATAATACAGCATTCTGGAATACTGTATGTACCGTTATCAGAACGTAAGGTAGGCGACAGAGATGGAGTCTCATCCTACCAACACGACGTGGAGAGCGGGTTCTCCCTGAGGAGTTCATAGAAGCATCTAATCCACTTTCTGAAGACAATGAAGAAGATGAAGATGGTTCTCTTCAAGAACAACATCTTTACTTCATTCTGAGACGACACCACTGGACCAGAACTTAACAAAGGAATGGATTCATCACTTCCCACTAACCTTCCTCAGTGGCCTGAAAAGAGGACTGTCTTTTTCTCGCAACTCTAGTTCGACGAAATACAATATTGTAAATCGTATTTTATGTTCACTGTTCCTATTGGCCGAAACGGGTTTAATATACTTTCCCCTTCCTCATGGGTCCCTGTG